ATGGCTGCTGAGCCTGCGTGTCTGGAGCCTGTGCTCCACAACGGGAGAGGGCACAACAGTGAGAGGCCCGCGTACCACCAAAAAAAAAAAAAGGAGCTTAAGGCTTCCTCCTACTTGCATGCCTCCCTCAGAATGAGCCAAAATCAAAGCATTTGATTCATACCCAAGGAGAGGGACTGAGCTGACATGTAAGATTCTAGGGGCTCTGAAGAGGCCACATTTTCTAGTAATCAAGATTCTTGGATATTTCTTTCTTCCTATCTTTTCTTTCCACTTGGCTGGAGGGACTGGAGCCAGGACACTTCACAGTCTTGTTTTTAGAACTAGGGACTTGGGGCAAGGACTCTCTGTCTAGCTCTGGTACATATATCCTGTGTTGGGTTTTTCCTTGTCTAGGCTCTTGGAGTTGAGGAATGGAAGGACTGCAGTGAAAGCGAACAGTTCTGCAGATCATTTTTGATTTGAGGCTATGTCGTCATGGGACAGTGTAGGGGTACAACATATGGCCCAGGAAAGCCAACTCTTTTTCTTTCTTTCTTTTTTTTGGCTGCACAGCTCAGCATGTGGGATCTTAGTTCCCAACCAGGGATCAAATCCTCGCCCCCTGCAGTGGAAGCGCAGAGTCTTAACCACTGGACCACTAGGGAAGTCCCCAGGAGAGCCAACTCTTATTACTCATAGAAAGAGGATACTAGTGTAAACGCTGATCATTCTTCAAGGACAGAATTCACCTTAAAATTCTACATGCCTATGAAAAAAATCACAGCATTAAAACTCAAGATAAATAGTGCCTAAGCGTTTAGGAATTTAGGCGTGCTAGTACAATTTCAGTTATTACTTAAATAGCTTCACCAAGTAATTAATTTCCATTGTGATTTACTATTATTCTAACAGAAACAAACTCCTAGCAGGCAAAATAGATAACTTGCAAATATCTTTTTCTGAAAATTCTACCACTTTTATGTCTTCTTCCTACAATACTACCATACTTGGAATATATTCTTGAAAATAATTTGCCTTTTATAAATATATTGATTTACGTTAACTTTAGTCAACTTCCTTTCACAGTGATTACACTGTATTTTTTATGAGTTTTTAATCATAAGACTTCAAGATTCTTAATCTGGGGGTTCATTTAGGAAAATTTTATTTTTTTTAAATCCTCATTTTATTTATCAAGTATACACTTTTTAATTTTTTCCTCAGTATATATTATCTTTCTACTAAAAAGGTTAAAGTTAAGTCTGTCATGAAATGAAAACACTGGAAGGTATCTAATAAACCCAAGTTAAAATAACAATACATGACAAACAGAGAAGAGCATATCCTTCTACAAAAGTTGATTCTTTTATGTATATTAAATAAAATGATTCTGGTGGCCTGTTTTTGAAAACTCTTTAAAATCTTTTCCATTTTAAAATTAAGAAAATTAAGTTTTCAATCCCCTTATATTTTGTACTCACTCTTTAAGGCTATCAGACCGCCGCCTATTTCTTCCCCATGAAGAACTCCTACTTCGAGTTCTCCTTTGGCTGGGGCTTCTTGATCTCCTATGATCACTTGGAGAACAAGGGTGACGTTCTTTTGATTTCATTTGGCCTGGTGCTAGAATATGAAGTTCAAGATTTATAATTCATTACCTGAAAACCTCAATAAATAACCACTATAAATAAACTACTCGAATAGTATTTTCTGAAAGAATTTTAAATTAAAAAAAATCTGTCATTGCTGAAACTCATTCTGCTAAATAAACAAGATTCACTATTTGGTCACACTTACTTTTGCGATCACCTTGTGCAAACTGTATTTCAATTTGACGGCCACATACCCACTTTCTATTGAGGTTATAAAGAGCATCTTCAGCATCACGAACATCTTCAAATATGACTAGCTGTTAAGGACACTTTTAACATCAGATATCAAATAAAAATATTATTTTTAAAGAATTATTTACATGTGACATGAAATTATTAGGAAAAACAAGCTCAAGTTATTAAGCTCACATCTCTAATATATGAATAATCAGAAAAAAAGTCACTTATTATCAAAACAAATGCCCCATTATGATTCAGAAGAGTGAATCTAAAAATAAAAAGAACAGAAACAAATCTCTATATTTTTATTGTATACATCAGTGTAGCTGTAGTATGCATGTATAATTAGAAACATGTTATGAGAAAAAGATAAGTCCAACATTGGCTAGTATTATCAAATAAACTGTTTAGGACTCACTCCCTTCTGTTAGGTAAAAGATTTATCAGGTTTTTCACTGAAAAAAAAATCAGCATGCAGAAATCTTTATTCTGAAATTAAAATTACTCTTTCATTAAAAGGCTTTTTAAATTAATTTAGGAGAAATTACTTATAAACAAAAGTGCACACATAAAAGTGAGCTAAAACATATATTCAAAACTGATGTGGTTCTTTAAAAATGATATTTAACTTTGAACCTACTGCTTTAAAATGCCTTTATATTTTTATTATTTGGGATATGATTATAAAAGAAATATATAAACAACCTGCAAACATCTGGAATTACATATATTGATTCCTAATACCCCACTAAACTCCCTTATATATATAAATTATATATTAAACCTAAATAAATGGAAACAAATCAGATAAAACGACCAAATAGTTGTATTTCAGGAGGTTGTTGCTGGATTAACTTTTTTAAAAATAGAAAACAGAAAAAGCTCAAGTAATGCAATACAAAATGAGACTTTGGCAATTACCTCAATGTCACTTGATCTTGAACCTTGACCTTTATTCTTTAGGGCTTGCAAGATGGACTTTATAAGAGACGCAGAACCAACAACATCAGACTTGGCTTTGATTCTGGAACTCTGAGTAAATGTAGGAAAGCCGAAGTCTCAACCTGGTGTTGGCTTTGTCTTTTGCTTGATAAAGACTTCCCCTCTTCCAGGTCTTTATATCTGTGTCCACCCTCCCTCTTTACTCCTTGATGCTTGAACTTTAGGTGCCTTTTGTCTCGCCTGCTCGGTTTATGCTTGGATTCTAGCTAACAGGTTGGTTCAAACTGAGGGGTGCTTGCCAGCTACTGTGGACTGCTTTAGATTTTCTGAGATAAAGAAATAAACACATTTAATTAGGCAGTATTAATCTCATAAAATATACTCCTGAGTACATATATGTATATGCACATGTACGTAGTCTATTCACATGCACACAGTAAAATAAAGGATATTGAACATAAGCAAATCCTCTCGGGCGGCGAGTGTAGAAGTCAAGTGGAATGTAAACGTCTACTATAGGGCCATATCGACCAAACTCACGGCGCAAGTCCTCAGGCCTGAAGTGTTTTAGAAATAAGGTAAAGAAATATGAATAGCTGGATTAAAATATTTTGCCTACAGAAATCTAGTTGAAACCTTCAAAAGAAAGTATATTATCTGGACTAGCATTATCTAAAATTGTCTCTCACAGGAATCACCCAGGATTTAGCAAAGAAGGAAAAAATAAAGAAAACAACAAATTCTCAGGTCTCATTTTTGGAGATTCTGATTCATGACATCTGGAAATCTGTACTTTTACAAGCAGTCTAGGTGGGCTTTTATGCTTAGTCAGGTTGAGGAAACACTAACCCAGGACATCCACTTTTTTTTTTTTAATTGAAGTATATTTGATTTACAATACTGTGTTAGTTTCAGGTGTATAGCACAATGATTCAGAGTGTGTATATGTATGTGTGTGTGTGTATATATATATATACATTCCTTTTCAGATTCTTTTCCCTTATAGGTTATTACAAAATATTGAGTACAGTTCCCTGTACTATACAATAGGTCCTTGTTGGTTACCTATTTTATATATAGCCTATCCACTTCTGAAAGTTACTCCTATTACAAGACTTTTCAATTGTCAATATATAGAGAGTTCTATTAACTCATTAAGAACACATTCATCTCACTATAATTTCACATTTTATGTTCATTGTTTTCAGATAGCAAGAATTAGATTCTAAAGAAGTCCTAAAATTATCTCTCAGGCTTCAAAGAAAAATGGTTGCTTTACTAGTAAACATAAAGCAAAAATAACTACCATAATCTCAAATTTGACAAGTATTTTTGAGTCACTTAAATGCTTTCTACTGTGATAGGTACTAAAGAGGGGACACCAAAGAAATACATGGCATAATATTTGTCTTCATGGAGCTACAATTTAACTGAAGAGATAAAATACTTAGCATTAATAGCTGACAGTTATAATGCATTTATAAATTCCCATAACAACAGATGTTAACAGATGAGGGCACAGACAAGTGAACTCAGCTAAGGTCACGGAGGCAGCAAGCGACAGAGCTGGAAGCAAAGTCCCACAGTCTGACACTAATCTGGGTTTGTAACCACTCTACCCTGCTGCCTCGTGGAGATCTTAGAGATTCAAAATCAAGCTATGAGCACAAAACACGGCTCAGAAGATATAAGAGTATTTCAAAACATATTGTGTAGAAAAAAGACCCTAAGATGACTGCAAAGCTTCTACCTTGGGCAAATGGAAGAAAGATGGTGTCAATGATAAAAATTAGATAGCTGGAAAAGACAGTTCAATAGAAGAGGGAGGAGAGGCAAAAGAAGAAATTTTCAGGGTTAGAAATGCCAAATCTGAGGTGATGGTGGAATATCCTTAAGAATTCTGTAAGCAACTGAAAACGGTGACTATACGAATTATATTAGTTATTATATTAGTTATTTTCTTTTCAAGACTAGAAGTCAGTGATTAATGCTAGAGATTGGATTTAGGAGTTATTATATAAAGATTCAACTAACACTGACTAAGTAGCCACTATATACCAGGCAGTGCCGGCAATATTATGACAAACTTTATTATATTTTTATTATTTATTATATTTATTTCATTTAATACTCAATATAACATGCTTAATTGTCTGCCTTCCCTGAGAGACTGTTAACTTTAGATTTAGAGGACAGTGATAATGTCTTTTTTCTTCTGTTTATTCATTCAACAAATACTTATTGAATATGTACTATGGGCCAGGCTCTAGGAATACGGTAGAGAACAAGAAAAACACAATTCCTACTCCCATAAAACATAGACTACAGGGTAAAGATTCTCAACCATTCCTGAATATTGCAATCATCTGTGAAGGAGATATTATAGAAACAGGCATTCCAGCCTGATGCATTAATCCTTGACCTAATTCGTGCTTCCCATGGTGAGCCCCAGTTATGTTTAAAGTTTTTAAAGGTTTCATAGGCAATTGTGAGGCTCAGGATTGAGAATCGCTTCTAAAGCAGGTGTCTTCACTAGTGTATCTCAGTACCTAGCATAGTTGCTTGGCACACAGTAGGCGCTCAGTATGCATCTGCTGTATTAATGAGCAAAGAACAATTGTTACCATTTAATTGTCAAGGAGACATAATGAGAGCAGTCACCTTGCCCAGAGGTACACACAGCCAGTAGCAAAGCTAGTATTCAAATGTCTTAGGAGGCAATCAATTCCATTAACCAAATGTGAGTGGCTGACAGAAGAGGATCCTAGATAATATAAAAGAGGCTGGAGCAGTGTGTGTGTCACAGAGGCTTAGAATCCCAGAAGTCTGAAGGAACAAATCTCAAAAGAGCTGGTTCTCTTTCATTGTCTCCACTCCCTCACCTGTGAGCTGTTGTTCTGTTTTCATTTATTTTTGCATTTTTGGTGTGATCTATTTTGACGTTCAGAAATGTATAGAGATAATAAACACCCATGTATCTACCAACAAGATTTATTATATCTCAACACTTGCCCTATTTGCTGTAATTTTTAGTATTTTTTAAGAAATATTACATCCTCCTACCTTAGAAACAACCGTTGGTGTCCCTCATTCCTCTGCATAACTTTGTATTTCTACTGCAAATGCACATAAATGGTATCAAACTCTTTGTAAAATTTTGCACCTTTCCTTCTCCTCCCTTGAGATTTCTCCATGTAGCTCTAGTTCACTCATTTTAACTCAGTATTGGTATGGTTATGAATAAACCACAATTTATTCATACATCTTTCTGTGGATGAACATTTAAAAATGCTTCTTTTTTAAACTGCAAACTGTGCTAGAGCGCACATTATGATGCATGTGCTTCCTAGAGCTCTTCAGAGTTCTCTGGGATGTACCACTAGCTATGCAACTGATGGGTTGGAGAGTACAAATATCTTCAGCTTCATTACATGTTCTCCAAAGTAGCCAAATCCACTTAAACTCCTCAAGACATGCATCAGAATTTCTAAGGATCCAACTCCTCACTAACATCTTTTACTCCTTGCCATTCTGAAGGATATAAAGTGAATGTGTATCTCATTATTTGAATTTTAATTTACCTAAACACCAGTGAGGTGTAACATCTTTACATGCTTATGGGTCATTTATTCTAGGGGCAGAATTTCTAGGTTTTTAGAGAGGATGTATATATTTAATTTCTATGAAAGAGCCAAACAGTTCTGCAAAGCAGTTGCACCATTTTATACTGCCACCACCAACATGTAAGTTTCAGTTGTGCCAATCTTTGCCAACACTTGGTATTGTCAGTCTTTTTAATTTTAGCCATTCAAGTGGGCGTTAAGTGGAATCTCACTGTGGTTTTAATTTGCATTTCCGCAACAACAAATGATGCTGAGCACTTTTTCATGTGCTAAATGGACATTTGGATATTTTTCTCTTGAAAGTGTTCTTTGCCCATTTTTAATAATAACATCTGTCTTTTTATTATTGAGTTGTAAAAGTTCATTATTATTCTGAGAAAAAGTCCTTTGTGAGATATATGTTTTGTGAATATTTTCTCCTAGTCTTTGGCTTGCCTATTTACTTTCTTAATGCTATTTTTTAATGAACAGAAATGTTCACTTTGGAGAAATCTATCAATATTCCTTTTTCTTTTATGGTAATTACTTTCTTTTTTCTGTAAGAAATCTCTGCCTATCCCCAAGTCATGAAGATATTCTCCTATGCTTTCTTCTACAAGCTTTACAGTTTCATCTTTTACATTTCAGTTGATGATCCAGTTCAAATTACGTGAAGTAGAGGCTGCAGCACATTTTTTTCATAAAATTAGTACATACATCCAGTTGTTACAGCACCATTTGTTGAAAAGACTTTCCTTTCTCTAATGGCTTTAGTGCCTTTGTCAAAAATCAAATGACTCTATATGTATGGATTATTTATGGACCCTCTATTCTGTTCTACTGATATATCTGTCTATCCTTAGGCCAATATCAAACTGTTTGAGTACCGTAACTTTTTAGTAAATCTTTAAGTCAGGTAGTATAAATCTTCCAGCTTCAATGACCTTTTTCAAAATTATTTTGGCTATTCTAGATTCTTTGTATATTAATATATTTTAGAATTAACTTGTTAGTTTCTATTTTTTAAAAAGCATTTGATCAGGAGTGCCTTGAATCTATAATATAATCAATTGGGACTGAATTGATAACTTAATAAGATTTCATCTTCCAATCTAAGAACAAAGTATATCTATCAATTTATGTTGGTCTTTGATCTCTCTTGGCAACATGTTATAGTCTCCTTCATTGCAAAGGTTTTTACGTGTTTTTTTGTGAAACTTATTCCTATGTTTTTATTTATTTATTTATTTATTTATGGCTGCATTGGGTCTTCATCATTGGGTCTTCGTTGCTCCGTGTAGGCCCTCTAGTTGCGGCAAGTGGGGGCCACTCCTTGCTGCAGTGCGCAGGCCTCTCATCACAGTGGCTTGTCGTTGCTCTAGGCACACGGGCTTCAGTAGTTGTGGCACGTGGGCTCAGCAACCATAGCTCGTGGGCTCTAGAGCACAGGCTCACCAGTTGTGGTGCAGGGGCCCAGTTGCTCCACAGCATGTGGGATCCCCCCAGACGTGGGATCAAACCCGTGTCCCCTGCACTGGGAGGCAGACTCCCAACCACTGCGCCACCAGGGAAGTCCCACCTAAGTATGTTTTTAATACTAAGATAAATGGAATTAAAAAATTTTTTTCATTATTTGTTTGCTGTTAGTATACAGAAATAGAATTTTCACTAAGTTTACCTCATATCCTAATAACTCACTGAAACTCATTACTAGTTACTATAGCTTTATGTAAACAAACATGTCACCTAAGAATAGGGACAGGTTTTACTTTTACCTTTATAATTTTTATGTCTTTTTTTTCTTGCCTTGTTGCATTGGTTAGGACCTGCAATAAAATGCTGAATAGAGGTTGTGAGAGTGGACATCCTTGTCTTGTAAGAGGAAAGCATTCAGTTTCATCATTAAGTATGTTATTGGCTATAGGTTTTTCACAGATGTCCTTTATTAAGCTGAGGAAGTTCCCTTCTCTTCCTAGTTTGCTGAGACTTCTTATCATGAATCTTGCTGGATTTTGTTTAATGCTCTTTCTACATGACCACTGATATCAATATTAATGTAGCCTCATACACACTGTAACCAAAGAATGCTACTAAGTATATCCAAGAGAAGTACTTACTGGGTGCTCCCCAACCTAACATGACGGTAAGCATCAAAATGGGAATGTTTTGAGATTTCGACATTACTTTGTTCCAACAGAAAACTATATCTGACATTAAAAAGATTACTGTACACAAAATGCCAAGATTTAAAATTAATATTCTTCCTGGTCCACATCTTACTTCACCAGTGAAAAGAAACATAACACAAATTATAAAATTTTAAAATCTTTCTTTAGTTCTTGTGCTCAATTTCATTCCTAACAAATTTAATGCTAACCTATAATGTGTTTTAACGTCTTGTGCTTTATCATATGTATTAAAATGGCCACTTCAAAGAAACATTTAAAATAAAATTTGGCTTTGTTATAAAACTAATATTAAATAAAATATGAAAACAAGATAAAGAAAACCACTCAGGCTTCGCTGGTGGTGCAGTGGTTGGGAGTCCGCCTGCCGATGCAGGGGACGCAGGTTCGTGCCCCGGTCCAGGAAGATCCCACATGCCGAGAAGCGGCTGGGCCTGTGAGCCATGGCCCCTGAGCCTGCGCGTCCGGAGCCTGTGCTCCGCAACAGGAGAGGCCTGCGTACCGCAAAAAAAACACACAAAAAAAACAAAAAAAAAACAAAGAAAACCAATCAAAGGGATTTCTTTCCAGGATCATTTTCTATAATATATATATAGATTTTCCCTTCATTTTTTTATGTAATTGAAATCAAACTGTATTTATAATTTTATACCCTGTTTGTTTTAACATATATCCCAATGATTTTCTTTATAAGTATACCAAATGTTAAAGCTAATTTAAAACGTGTCTAGGGGGCTTCCCTGGTGGCGCAGTGGTTAAGAATCCGCCTGCCAATACAGGGGACACGGGTTCGAACCCTGGTCTGGGAAGATCCCACATGCCACAGAGCAACTAAGCCCGTGCACCACAACTACTGATCCTGCGCTCTAGAGCCTGTGAGCCACAACTACTGAAGCCCACGTGCCACCACTACTGAAGCCCATGTGCCTAGAGCCTGTGCTCTGCAACAAGAGAAGGCACTGCAATGAGGCCCACGCACCGCAAAAAAGAGTAGCTCCCATTCACCTCAACTAGAGAAAGCCCACGCGCAGCAACAAAGACCCAACACAGCCAAAAATAAAATTAATTATAAATAAATAAATAAAATGTGTCTAGGTGTCATATTGCTAGTTAACTTAGACTATATGCCACCTTGTACAAAAAAACCTATTAATTGAGGTTACATGTGATGATTCTACTTTCATAACATTACTCAACAGCTGTGCAGTTTTAGGAAAGATCCTTAATGTCTCTAAGTCTCAGATTCTTATCTGTTATATAAGGTTACTGAAAATTTAATAAGATAACATAGTACAGTTTTTAGCACAGTGCCTGGTATACAGTGAGTACTCAACAAATGTTAGCGATTATTATAATTTCATTAATACAAACCTCCTAGATTTTGACTGTCCCCCAGTGGCAGTGATAGAAAGTCGTGAAAAAAATGGAAAAGGAAATCAATAAATCTCAATTATCAGTCGTGATTATCTAGATCAGAGGCCATGTGTCACATGTGTATATGTTTTGTTTGGCCTATACAATGTTTAAACATTTAAAACAAGTCCAAATGTCTGTACAGCAGTTATCAGCTGAAGCTTGGTAGCAGTCACTGTCCCCTTGAGATGGCACATGTTCTTTTTCATTTGCCAGGGTCTATACCATCCTACTGTCCCTTAATGTGACACCTTCACTCATTCATATTACCCTGGCTGGCCCCTGTGGCCATTAGAATTGGAAACCTTTCATTTTTTTGTAGGCACACTGGAGAGGTTTGATCTTATTCAGTATTCAAGTGGTCTGTTTAACTGTGGGAATTGTTTTAACCTTACCCAAGTTATAAATTTTTCTTGTGTTCTATGTAATATATTGATTAAACAGGTTGAGAGAAGAAATGTAAACACAGGCATCTTTAGGATGTTTAAGTATATTAACTCACAGTTTACAGCTGTGACATATATATATAATAGCAGGGATCAAATTTTTAAAAAGACCTAACATTAACTTCTCAAAGGTAAATAATGATGATTACTCCTGATGGCTCTGGAGTCAAGCGCTCCAATATGTTTCCAGCTGTGAAGCCCCAGGTAAGTCATTAACACGCTGACTTGCAGCCTTCCCTTATGTACAATAAGATAATCCTGCATAACTATAAAGTTTGGGATGGGGGGCTGGAGAGTAAATTAAGCAAGCCCAGTGATACGAAAATGTCTATTATTTCAGACATTTATCAAAATGTCCACCCGCCCCGGCATTCCCCCCTATTAAGGGAGAAAGACACTTATAAGAAGTCATATTCCTTAACCTATGTTCAGGTACTATGTAGACAGAATTCTCCAAAGAGGGGCGGGTGGTTTGAGTGCATCAGAACCGACCAGGGAAGTCTATCCAAACCGTTATGATGGGTGTTTATATTGCACTCAGAACTTTAAAGAAAAATACAGAAATCTCATCCACTGAAGTTATCCTTTGTATATAGTATAAAACTGTGCAACGAATAAAATTTAACCAGCACCACCTGTAAGTAGAACAGACTACCGACTACAGGCAAAGGGAATCGTAAGGCCCAAGGTACGCATTATTCCGTAACGCGTTCTCACCATCCCCAATTCCTTCCCATTTAGGAGGCAAGATGCGCGGCTTTATCCCGGTACAGCGACAAAGGGGCGAGACGCAGGCACCCACCCGAGGAACACTGAGGGCCAGAGGCGGGGAGGGACCGGCTCCCGGGCAAGAGTCAGCCGGCGCTCCGCCGGTTCTCGCGGTGGGGATGGGTACCGGCCCGCCGCCCAGGTGCCGGGGGCGGTCAAGCGCTACGGGGCCCGGAAGCGGGGCCGCTGCGGGGCGGAACGCCGGCCGGGAAGGCGGAGGCGCGAGTGCCGCCCAGGCCCCGAGTAGCCCGAGGGCTCCCGCCGGCCCCGGGAAGGGCTCCTCCGCGGAGCGCCCCGGCCCGGCCGGCGGGGACCCGCCCCTCCCCCGCGCCCCAACCTGAGGCGGCACCGCCGCTCACCTGGTGGCGTCCGCGACGTTCCTGACGAACAGGGAGGTGTTGGGGGGCCTCGTGTAGCGAGACATGACCGCTTCCTCCGTTCCCTCCGGGTTTGCCCGTGGCCGCCGGGCTCGCTCCGTCTCCTGCTGCCGCCGCAGCCAAAGCAGCTCCGCCGGCCCCCGGCGCGACCCCCTCCCCTCCGCCTCGGCCCCGCCAGCGCGCAGCCGCAGAGGCGGGCGCGGGGGAAGCGCTGTGCGGCGCGAGTCAGTCTGTGCGGACCTCGCGGGGGCGGGGGCGGGGGCGGCGCCGACGCCGACGCCCAGCGGGGTGTGGGGAGGGGGCGACGCGGCGTGCCAGGATTCCCGGGCGTCTGAGAAGGGGGCGGCGCAGGAGGCCGGGGGTTGAGGGGATCAGGAGAGGGGGTCGCGCGGGGGTCCCGGAGTCAAATGGGATTCGGGGAGGAGACGACTGGGGTCAGAGTGTAACAGGAGGGCAGGAACCAGAGCGGTCGTAGGGGCTAAAGCGGATGAGCCGGGGGCTAGAGAGCTTCCGGAGAGAGGGTGTCACGAGGGGGTTGGGCGGGGTGAAGGCTGAGTTCAACCGCGCAACGGCCGCTTGGCCGCTGGGGCCTTCATTCTTGCATCTTCAGCCCAAGGCGGAGCAATTGTTCCGCCTCCTGTCCCCTTTAGTGTTGAGACTCTTTAGGCTTTCAAACTGGGAGGATTTTTTTCTATGTGTTTTGATTCTTCATCCATTATTCATTTAGGGTACGCCGTTCAGCTCTGAGTACATTCATTCAAGTGTTTATTGAGCACCTGCTATGTACCAGGAACTATTTTAGCTGCGTTTTAGAGCGACGAACAAAAGAGGCCAAGTCCCAGTCCTCATAGAGCTTACATCCATGAGTGACCAGACAATAAAAGAATGAACAAATGCATACATGGTGTAGAGGAAATCAATGAAAATGCAGAGGCAATTAAGCAAATTTAAATTATCCTCTTCACGTCTCTCCAAAATGTCATATCCATCCCCTTCTGGTTATCCTCCTGCCTTCACATTTGCTCCTGTGGTCAGTACAGCCTGTTACCAGGACTGTAGCCAGGTGACTTGTAATTGTTAGTAGCACCCCTTTTCATTCTCAGAAGTGGTCACTTTTGGAGGGTAAATAATATGGTCACCCTACCTAGCCCACAGCGGTCTCAAAGGCTGTGAGAGTTTACCAAAGTCGGCAAATGCTTCTGGAATAGTGGCCATTCATTCAAAAAGTGATTGCTATGGCACAGCAAGCTCAGGCCTGGTCTGGGAATATAAGGGGTGGGGGAGGGCCCCCATTCTCAGGAAGCTTACAGTTTGGCAGAGGAGGCAGACTCGAATTATGGTACTAATAAACACACAAACTAGGCTAAGGGCTATGAAAAGAGCTACATGCTGCTAGAAGGGTACCTTATGGGGCTTGGCGAGCAGGCCTAGAGGGTCACTGAACTTTTCCCTGAGGAGTGTTGGAGAAATATTTGAAGAACGAAGAGGAGCAATCCATGCACTGGAACAGCATGTGCAAAGGCTTTGAGGCAATACAGGAAATAAAAGGAGGCAAACAGGAGCGTCAAGCTGGAGAAGAACAGGAAAACGAGGCTGGAGAGCAGGCTGGGTGTATGATAGGAAAGTTTGGAATGCTGACTATATGGGTTTGCTAGGGCTCTTGGAACAAATTACCACAAACTCAGTAGTTTAAGCTGAGAGAAATGTATTCTCTCACAGTTCACGGGGCCCGACGTCTGAAGTCAAGGTGTTGGCAGGATCACACTCTCTCCAAAGGCACTCGGGGGGATCCTTCCTTGCTTCTTCTGGTCCCTGGTGCCTCCGATCTCTGCTTCCGTCTTCATGCGGCTTTCTCCTCTTTGTCTTATGAGGACACTTGTAATTTTTTTGTTTTTTTTGGCTGTGCCACGTGGCATGCGGGATCTTAGTTCCCCCACCACGGCTCAAATCCGAGCCCCCTGAAGTGGTAGTGTGGAGTCTTAACCACTGGACTGCCAGGGAAGTCCCAGGACACTTATCATTGGATTTAGGGCCCACCCAGGTAATCCAAGATGATCTCATCTCAAGATCCTTAATTGTATCTGAAAAGACCCTTTTTCTAAATAAGATCAGGACTTGGTCATGTCTTTTCTGGGGCCACCATTCAACCCACTACACTGACCTTGCAGAGAAAAGAGACTTGGGAGGAGGTGAGAGTTAGTAATAAACCTCCCCCTGACATATTAAGTGGGGTAAAAATTCAGTAGACTCTATGTAAACCATGAACCTATTTAGTTAAAAATATGTGTATTGGTATGTTCATTTATAAATAGAATTGTTTCTAGGTGGAGGCATTACACTCTGATTTTCACTTCGTACCTTTGGTACTGTCAGATTAATTTATTTTAATTATTTATTTTTGGCTGCATTGGGTTTTCGTTGCTGCATTCGGGCTTTCTCTAGTTGCGGTGAGCAGGGGGTTACTCTTCGTTGCGGTGCGCGGGCTTCTCATTGCAGTGGCTTCTCTTGTTGTGAAGCACGGGCTCTAGGCGCGAGGGCTCAGTAGCTGTGGCTCACAGGCTCTAGAGAGCAGGTTCAGTAGTTGTGGCGTGTGGGCTAAGTTGCTCCATGGCATGTGGGATCTTCCCTGACCAGGGATCGAACCCCTGCATTGGCAGGTGGATTCTGAACCACTGTGCCACCAGGGAAGCCCCTGTCATATTATTTTTAAAATACTTTTTATAATTGGAAAAACCCTACAAAGCTCTTTACAGTTTGAAAAAAGCTTTTATTGGCATATCTGAAAAGACTTAGTGACTAAGTAGGAGGTTTTTTTCCTGTTCCTATTGATAGAAGTATTTGAGGAAAGGGACAAACTGTGGAAGGAGGTTCAATTAGAAACTTGAACTTTAAAGGTAGCTGGAATTGATTTAAAATAAGTTATGGAGCGCACAGCTGTGGAGCGCTGAGCCACGTGTCATGCCCTGCGCTGCCCAGACTAGCGAACAATACAGTCAAGATGGCTAAAGGTGACCCAAGAAACCAAAGGGCAAGATGTCTGCTTATGACTTCTTTGTGCAGATGTGCAGAGAGGAACATAAGAAGAAAAACCCCGAGGTCCCTGACAATTTTGCAGAATTTTCCAAGAAGTGCTCTGAGAGGTAGAAGACAATGTCTGGGAAAGAGAAGTCTAAATTTGATGAAATGGCAAAGGCAGATAAAGTGCGCTATAATCGGGAAATGAAGGATTACGGACTAGCTGAGGGAGGCAAGAAGAAGGACCCGAATGCCCCCAAGAGGCCACCGTCTGGATTTTTCCTCTTCTGTTCCGAATTCTGCCCCAAGATCAAATCTACAAACCTTGGCATCTCTATTGGAGATGTGGCAAAGAAGCTGGGCGAGATGTGGAATAACTTAAGTGACAGCGAGAAGCAGCCATATATCAAAAAAGCAGCGAAGCTGAAGGAGAAATATGAGAAGGATGTCTCAGACTATAAGTCTAAAGGGAAGTTTGATGGCGCCAAGGGTCCTGCTAAAGTTGCCCGGAAAAAGGTGGAAGAGGAAGATGAAGAAGACGAGGACGAAGAGGAGGAGGATGAATAAAAAAAACTGTTGAGGGACTTCCCTGGTGGCGCAGTGGTTGAGAGTCCGCCTGCCGATGCAGGGGACGCGGGGTCGTACCCCAGTCCGGGAAGATCCCACGTGCCGCGGAGCGGCTGGGCCCGTGAGCCATGGCCGCTGAGCCTGCGCCTCCGGAGCCTGTGCTCCGCAACGGGAGGGGCCACAAGAGTGAGAGGCCCGCGTACTGCAAAAAATAAAAAATAAAAAAAAATAAAAATAGAGGCACATATGAATTTATTTCTAATGTTTGAAACTTTACTCCTAAGCCCTGTCTCTGGGGAAACTGCTGATAACACCCTGTTGTCATTTAGAATCTAAGCGCTTATGATTTCCCCCTCATTTTCCACCTACCTTCACACACTCAGCTGGCTATCTCTTCCCTTTTTTGTCACTCTGGAGCATCTATTCCAAATGGTAAACAAGAGAAACACTACCCTCTCAATTTCACCTATAGATTTTTTGGGAAGGAGTGTGAAAGGAGAAAATGACTGTCTCTAGCTTATTTGTAAAGTTTACAATTTAAGGCTACCTCTATTTCTAATAACCACAGATAATCAAGGCTGGTTTATAAGAACAATGTATTTTTGGTTTTTGCTTTATATATATATATATATATATTTAAAGTTTTGTTGATGTACAACATTGTGTTAGTTTCAGGTGTACTACATAGTGATTTCACATTTACATACATTATGAAATGATCACCACAATAAGTCTAATAGTCATCTGTCCCCACACAAAGTTATTACAGTATTATTGACCATATCCTTATGCTATATATTACATCCCCGTTGCTTATTTATTTTATAACTGGAGGTCTGTACCTCTTAACCTCCTTCACCTATTTTGCCCACCCCTCTACCACCCTATGGCAGCCACCCACTTGTTCTCTGTATCTATGAGTTTTTTTTTGTTTTGTACAACACATATTTGTTATTCTACAGCAAACCTATAATCCACGTGGCTGTATAATGTTACTAACCTTTTTTCCATTTCTTAAATGTGTCAAAGTAGTCTAATTATCAGGTCTGTAATTAAAGAGTCAAATCATGAAAAACTAGTACACTATAATCAGATTAATTAAAGAGTTTTGGTTTTGACTATCATAGTAGAGAACTAGACCTGACTGAAAATTAAATTGTACTTGGGTATGCATGAGTGTCTTGAAATTTGTATGATGAAAAGAAAGTACTTTGGAGAAATAAATTTCGGAGTAATGAAGTCAGCTGATATCATCTTATGCTGTGAACTCACTCCCCAACAGATGGTGCTAGCTCACCTCTAGTGAGGGCTCTTCTGGTCTACCCTCCCTTAAAATGTACCATGACCTTGATGGTGAAAACTGATGTAGTGATTGGAATAGAATGTATTGTTAACCTTCTTCTATTGCCCCTGAACTTTGGCTTTTAAGACCTCATTCCACACAACCCAGTTGGAGAATCTATGG